TCTAAAAGTTAAATTGTGCTTGGTAGTTTTAGTGTTAAGTGTGCAGTATAATTTTCTAATTTATTTTCTCAATCTTTCAGAACATGCATAAGACACTGTGCAAATGTTTTGAAAATAGAGCAATCCTTTTGTGGAATATTGCCTAATCCTGTCAATAAACTCATATTTTGAAAACATTCAGACATTGTTGAAAATCCTATTTTGATTTTTCTGACTCTGCTCATTCTCATCTGGCTCCAGTCCTACCTCCTTATTTCTTCCTTTCCAGCCCCGCTTCCTCTGCCTGCTCTTTAAATGATGGTGTTTCCTAGCATCTCTACTCTACACACTCTTCCAAAGTGATGTCATCATGCCCATCAATACTATCCATGCGCTAATGACCTCCAAAATTGAGTCTCTAACCTTGACCCCTCACTTATTTTTAGACCCATTCATTCAACGGCCTCCGGACATCTTGACTTGATGTTGTAAAGCACTTTAGACTCAATACAACAAAACCTGAACTCGTTGCCTTCTCCCCTAAACATCTCCTTCTCCTCTTCATGGAGTCCTAGTTTGGGTGGGTGATAGCACCATTTATCCAACTGTCTGGGTGACCTGAGGATGCCCCGTCACCTCTGAGCTTTTTCCATCCCTGGACCATGACACTAATCATTTAAGGAGCCTGCAATTTTCACTAAATTTTCACTAAATTGCAGGCTCCTTAGAGGCAAGAAATTTATCTTAGTATCCCTAGCACTTAGCACTTTGCCCATCACAAAGTAGCTACTCATTTATTGAGTTGATGGATGAATGATTAACCAGAATACTCATATTGGGTAACAGAGCTTACAAGGTGTTTTAGTCTATTTTTATTGATATAAAGGAGTAACTGAGACTGGGTTATTTATGAAGAAAAAATATTCACTTTGCTCACAATGCTGCTGGCTGCAAGACTGGCCATCAGGTGAACGCCTGGCCTCCTTCCACTCATGGCAGCAGGTAAAAGGAAACCAGTATGTGCAGAGATCACATGGTGAGAGAGGAGGCATAAGAGAGAGAGGAGGTGCCAGCCTCTTTCTAACAACCAGCTTTCCAGGGAACTAAGAGAGTGAGTCCTCACTTACACCCCGCCTCCTCCAGAGAGGGCATTCATCTTGAAGGATCCATCCATGACCCAAACACCTCCCATTAGACCCTACCTCCCAACACTACCGAGCTGGGGATTAAATTTCAACATGGAATTTGGTGGGAACAAATATCCCAACGATAGCACACAAGGTGTATTAGCAGGGTTTACTTATGCAGATACACACTGTGCACATTTTGCTTAATGGCCCAAAGAAATAGCTTATCAATAATCTATCCAATCAATATCTTCTAGTCAACTGCTTTCTCTAATTTCTGTCCATGTAATAGGTAAGCATTTGATTGTGTGCTGTCAAAATTCCATGCTGAGTTAAGCAGAAAACAAGCTTCATATTTCTTTGCCAAATAATCAAGTTTCCTTTAAATAGACCTATCTAAAATCAATTGATAATTTAACTTGAATTCCCAGGCCACTTAGAAAAACAATCCAATATTCACCTTCCACATCAACCCAAGGCCTGTTACTTTTCTTCCTTCTTATTTGACTCAACTACCTTTCCACTTGCTGGTTTACTCAAAAGATCTGTTTTGATGAAAGATGGAGATATTTTACTCAAAAGATCTCCATGTTTTAGATCCTAAGAATTTCATTTTTAGATATCTATTTAAAACATTTTCTTCACTCTAAAATGATTGACAACCGGTAGTTTTGTTACAATGGTAGTTGTACTTTACCAATCTATCATAATTGTCTTGGTTTTCAAAGAAACATGACAGGTCGTCTTGAAATTTTGAAGGTCTCAACATTATGCAAGAGTGAAAAATGTCCCTGAAAAAGTAAGCAACGTTTTAGATTGAAATAATCACATGAAGAAAAAATATAAGATACGATTTGAGATTTCAATTTATTTTCCAGGTTTACGGCATAAAAAATGTAATGTGTAAAAGAAAACATTTTACAGTTAATTGGGATGGGGGATTATACTGGAGGACCCAAAAGGGAACAAAATAACTTGAATGACAGGTACACTGTTCCATCAGAGACAGTAACTCTGTTATTGACATCACAATGAGAAGAAGCTTCATAGAATAAACCTTATGAATGTAAGTAAATGGACTTGTACAGATGGTTCCTGGTAGAGTCATTCATTTATTTCCATGCTTGCAAATGTCTCAAAAGAGCTCACCGCCCAGTTTATGCAGGAACTCACTCAGGCCTTGTCATATACATATGGTGACCCTGAGCAGAGGGCTGGTTGGCAAAACTGCCCCTTCTGGTTACAAAGTACAGTATTAACTAATCAGAAAGAACAAAAAAGGTCCCTGGCCACATTTCTGCACAAACAGTTATGACTCTATCAGATAAAGACAGGTGGTTTCATCTCTGAACTTTCTAAATTGGTGCTGGACTTGAAACCCAGAAATGGAAAGTCCTTCTAACCAAAGCAACTATCAAATATTCTCCTCTCAAGTAAGATCTGCTTGGCCCAGGCCTCTCTGGTTCTCTCAGTAGCATTTCTGTTGAGGAAGGGGTCATCTATAATGTGAGTTAAATCACTGAACCAGTATCTGCTCCCACCCTCATCTTTGCTGGCATCATGCACTCTACGTTCGTAAATGACTTGGAAATCAAATTTGGTTAATCACACCATAACTTAAGGGTCCCAGAGGAGTTTGCCATTTAATTAAAGCCTACGGTAAACTATTATAAAAAGAAATTATTGCCAAAGTTTAGATTTTTGTACATTCCTTTTAAAGAATGATGATGGGCCGGGCGCGGTGGCTCAAGCCTGTAATCCCAGCACTTTGGGAGGCCGAGGCGGGTGGATCACAAGGTCAAGAGATCGAGACCATCCTGGTCAACATGGTGAAACCCCGTCTCTACTAAAACTACAAAAAATTAGCTGGGCATGGTGGTGCGTGCCTGTAATCCCAGCTACTCAGGAGGCTGAGGCAGGAGAATTGCGTGAACCCAGGAGGCGGAGGTTGCGGTGAGCCGAGATTGCGCCATTGCACTCCAGCCTGGGGAACAAGAGCGAAACTCCATCTCAAAAAAAAAAAAGAATGATGATGGAAAGTAAGTGAATGTTCCATTGTCTCTATAACTGAGGGGTGCTGGCAAATAAAAAGCAACTATCACATCTTTCTGCAAGGCCCCTAAATGGCAAAGGTGGGCAACTGTCTAAATTCCCTACAAATTGAGTTTAATTAAACTTGTCACCTGGAGATCAGATGCCCAAGTCTCACTAATTCCCTAAGCAACAGTCTCTGGTCCCCACAGATGAAGCTTTCTTAGGCTGAGGGCTTTTTAGAATTAAACACTCCTAAATGATGGTCAACTTCACAACAAAAGGCCATGCCCAGAAGTGAAGGCTCAGATAAATTATAAGCACGTGCCAAACCAAACAACTGTACATTCAAATAATGTGATCCAAATATCATTTCAGTGCCAAGATAAGTGCTAAAGATGCTGTTAAGATAAAAGTCTGGGTTTGTCACATTTGTCCCCAAGGCTCAAAATAAGTGTATTTCTTCCACTAAGACAGGACGAATCCCTGATGTTTGTAAGCTGAGAGAGACATAAATGGTAGACTCTTGGTGTCATATTAAAAGAAACTTTTCATGGTGCTGCATCCGGCTTTAGGAATCTGTTCTTTTGCTGGAGAGACTCTATAACAACCCAATAAAGACATTTATTTAAAGACAAAACAAATTGGGTTATCTGTGTAGAAATGTAACAGGACCCAGGAAAAAGGGACTTATAGAACCCTAAAAGTTAATTTTATTCCGAAGTTTTACATTTCTAATTTAATTTTATTCTGAAGTTTTATATTTCTAATCCATTGCCTCTTAATTCCTAATGAGATGCAACTAGGAGAGACGCGAGCACCATCTTCCCCTTACTGTCTTCCATTGAAAGCAAACAGCAGGGCAGAAAACGATCTATGCACAACTGAATCAAAACTTACTGCATACGAGAATAAAGAAAAATGGTTTTTCAAGTCCTGTTTTGTCTGCTCTATCAAAAGTCTTGAGGGCAAGTGTGGGAAAAACAGTAGGATGCAAACTGCTTGCTGAGAACACCTACGTCAAGGAGGCAGGCCAGGGACTCCAGCTCGAGATCCCCCCAGGATGGGGCTGCGGGCAGCCCCTCTCACTCTAACCAGGGAAGAAGGTTGGGGCATAATGTTGCCATGTCACCAGAGAGGCCAGGCTAAGCCTTTGCCTGCCCCCCTGTACCCAAGGCTCAAGGCACGCATCTTGCCCAAGCCAGCAGAGTGGGAGCAGCAGGTGGGGCCAGGCAAAAGCAAAGGGGGGCCTGAAGGAACAGCAGCATCCCTGTCTTGAGGCAGGTGCTACATTGGCAGGGCTGGGTTTTCCAGAAGGAAGGGGGATTCTCAAGTTCTTTCCATCAAATATGCCAAGATATTTGCAGCATAGTGGAGAAGCTTCCCAAAGGACAAGGTGTAAATCCAAAGCGAAAGAGGAGATCCTGCCTTCCACCCCAGGATGTGTCTCTAGGTCCTTCCTCAGCATCTCAAAGTGCGAAATAATTTAGACCATACCTTACGGTACAGAAGACTGAGGGGTTAGAATCAAACATCTAGTTTGAAATTCTGTTAACCAGCCATGAGACCTTGGGCAAACCCCTTCCTCTCTGATCTTCCTTTTCTCACCTGAAAAACTAAGATAACTCCTATCTTGAAAGCATGTGGGGCTAACAAGGCTGGGTGGAACACGGGCTGTGATACACAATACCTGATAAATGTGTTAGTAGCCTTTCCTTTCTTTGACAAACATGTCTTGTCAAAATGTGATCCAAAATAGAATTTTCAGAGCATATATTTGGTTAAAGCTCAATGCAGTTATTTTAACAGTGTCTAAACTATCTCTTTTGACTACTGCACTGAATACCAATCAAGCACGGTGGGCAGAAGAGCAATTCATATTTTATTTATAATAAAATACGACCACAAGTTTACATAGTAGTAAATTCACAGTAGTGATTTTGTTTGTTTTGTGGTAACAAATCCATAAAGCACAAACACTACCCAGAAATAGTTAAATCACTTTACAGTCAGGGTCTCTGCTGCAGGACCATTTAAATAAATATGCTAACATTTCTGTGCGGCTTTAGTAACCTATCACTTTTTAAAAATAAAGCCCAATTTGTAAGTTACATTAAGAAATATCTAGTAAGGCTTCCAGGGTAGTGAAGTTCTGGCAGTAATTCTTATAGAGCTTGACCTTTCTTTGTTTCTTGCATTTTGCAGTCCTAAAGCAAGAAAGAGTCTAATGGACTTGCCTGCAGGACAGTCCGAAAGCAAGATAGAGTCTAATGGACTTGCCCGCAGGACAGCGGGCTCAACAGAAGACTGTGCTGTGCTAAAGCCATTCACTCAGGGGAGGAGCCAGTGTCAGTGAGGGAAAGGAATCAAGCAGGGGAGGGAGAAGTTATTGGTTTTAGAGTGACCTCTCAAAACACAGGGTTATTAGGTAATCTCTTAAACACAGGGGACTGCAGAAACACACCCTCACACACTCAGCTATATACACATTTCACACATATCTGCCGAGCTACACACCTATCTGCTACAGACAACACAGATGTTAAGAGTCTGACATATAAATGTGCTACCCATCTGGTAATACACTCAGAGAAATGCTCACATATATGGAAACAAAAATGCACAAACAAATATGCATCCCCACTTAGGGAGACTTACACAGCAGGGCCCAGATTGGAAGGTAAACCAAGGACTGACTTTTGTCGGTTTCACTGAGTGGCTGGAACACTCACTCAGTACCTGGGTTGGAGTGGCAAGATAATCAATTTCTGTCAGTCCAATATGCTGGTAGCATCCCACAAAACTATAGCCCTTAGGTAAATACGTGCACTCCAAAGTGACTATGAGAGGCAAAATGAGAGAGAAATCAACTACTACCGCCTACTGTAGAGACGGGAGGGGTGAGCACTTCAGCCCTGTCCAACACACACCTGCACAGCCAGTCTCTCCATTAAAAAAGGAGTCCCAAGCCCCAGGCAATGAACCACACACAGCAAACATACCAGGTCACCTGCCTCTTACCATTTGTTGTGAAAAACTTGTCCTCTATGTAGATGTCAAAAGGGAAGAACAGAGCCATGTGGGAGGGGCAAGGGAGGGAGGTGATGAAGTTGGGGAAAAACTGGTGCTCAAGTATTTTCTCTAGGGCTTACTTTATGCACTTTAGCCAAAGTATTATGCATTTGACTTAACATTTTGATAACGCAAAGGATGGATGAACCATATAGCTTTAAAATCCCCTCTGAGGATGCATACGGAACTTTTTAACATCTGATTCATGGACAATAAAAATTGTTCTATCTTCAAACGTACACATTTAAGAACAAGTTATCTACCAGTGAAAACATCACCAGGGAAGACAGCAATCTCAGACATAAACTCCTCATTAAGTTCTTTAACACTCAGTGCTCTAATTTTAATAACTTATGTTGAAAATCATTTTAAAAAATCTATAAACATTTAAGACAAATGAAATCCTGTCTCCTATAATATGAACATATGCTCTACTAGTCTTAGGGCAGAGTTCACCCCCTTTTAAAAAGAATAGCCTACTGGTTCCAAGAATTGAAATAAAAATGCATTGTGTTCAATTGTGGGATGCAGCTTTCTGAAATCTTCAATCGTTTGAATGTCATTTACATTGTTCCCGCTGCGCCAGTAACTCAAGCTATTAAGAGGTTGAAAGTGCAAAGGCTTTACAAAGATCCTGCATTTTATTTTGTTATTCTTTCAAAAAGAACTCAATACAAAGTCAATGTAAAAAATCAATACTCAATTTAAAACAAACAGTAATTCTTGAAAGTCTGACATTCTCCTATGCAAAGACTGGGAGAGAGAGGAAGGGGGAGAGAGAAAATAAGTTTTGTAATTTAGACCTTTCTCACCCTGCTGGGAATGCACATGCCAGAGCAAATGAATGCAGCTTAAACCCTTCTGGACTGGTCACTTAAGATAGCGTTAGAAGAACAGTATTTTAGAATGGTGATGAACAGTGTCATTATTAACTACATGTATATACACATATGGCACTTTGAACTGCACTGTATCTATGACATAGCAACCTCCGACATAGCCCATCTCACACTTGCTATCCCTTACCCCATCTCCCAAAATATTTCCTGAGAAAGACATTATTAGGAACTTCCAGTTTAAAGGGACCTAAAGGCAAAACTAAGAACAAAAGCACCATGGTTACATGGTATGTGTTTTTTTATAAACAGAACCACATAGTTGAATAGCACATCTTGGCTTCATGCCACACCTATGGGCTCCCCCTTCCTTCTTCTCTAGCATGTCTTTTCCCAAGCTGAAGGCTGGTGATTGAAGAATGTTGTTTACTTTTTCAGGTACAGGTAGTATTACAGAGATCCAAAGCCAATTTTGATTTTTACGATGACACAAAATACCGTACCACTTGGAGAGTGCATGAAGCAGGGGGTAAAGAGCATTGGACAGTGTCATCCTGTACTACAGCAAGGTGGCCAATTGCCTGAAATACTGGGAAAAGCAAGCGTGAACACTTAAAAGGTTTGTTGCAGATACAGGAAGGCAAGTGGGGGCAAAGGCAGCCCAGTGCAAGAGGTCCGGATGGGGCTCCTGAAGAAGCTCCTTGCAGCAGGGGTCCACCAGGAAGGCTCCTCTACCCACAACCCAAGCAGTGTCTGCTCTCCCAGGGCCAGGGGAAAGCTACTGAAATCAGCACGTGCCTGTCATCCCAGCTACTCAGGAAGCTGAGGCAGGAGAATCGCTTGAACCCGGGAGGCAGAGGCTGCAGTGAGCCGACATTGCGCCACTGCACTCCAGCCTGGGTGACAGAGCGAGACTCCATCTAAAGAGAGGGAGAGACAGCTCATAGATGAATCTTTCTGGACAAGAAGATGGGCTCCCTACTCTCCCTTCCCCAAACTCCGCAGTGTCCATTTTCCTTCTCCTCACTTTATCAGCAGCTAAAAGTGGGAGCAAAACCAGCCTCTTTCCCGGTCCTAAGTGGCCGAGGCGATGAGCTGCACAGTGACGGTGGTCAGAAACACAGGGGCTGGACAGCAGCAGTTGCTAGCACGGCTGGCATGGTTTGGTGTCCCTGGGCAGGACAGCTTGCTATGAGCTTCGGGAGAACTTATCACTCCAGGAAATCAAGTGGTTCCAAGTCGAACCTGCCAATCCCAGGGTCACAGTGTTAGTCTCCCCTGGTTGGTGTGGAGTAGTGGGGAGGAAAACTGGGCAGGGCGGGGCTCCTGCTACAGCCTAAAGGGGGCATTCCCACTGCCTGCTCTCCCTGTGCTTTACCTGCTGGGCACCCCACACTTCCCTATGGAAGCAATCCTGGGACCGACTTGAGACTGCACAAAGAGCCTGAGGGCACACATGGAGAGCCAGCGCTGCCAGCGAGGTGGAGGTATGATGGCATGGAGGCCAGGTGGACAGCTGCAGGGCCTGGGAAGGGCTACCTGCTTCAAGCCAGAAGAGGGGTGGGATCAGAAACAGGGCCGGTAAGTTTTCTCTTTGGGAAAAAAAGACAAAATCAAATCATTTAATAGCTGTAAACAACAGTGAACATTTTTTGTTGTGATCTTTCTCTGAAGAACCTAAGGCAACGAAGAACAAAGACGAAGGCAGGTATCTCCTGAACCGCCCACGACTCTCGTGGGTGATGTGATGCTGAACATTAACATACACAAATACATGTGTGGACGTGTCATGACTGGTTTCCTGAAACAGAATAAAGGTGTGTCCCCTGGAAGTCTACAAGTGGGCTGACCGGAAGCAGGGGGGACGTGGTACTGGACGAGAGGCAGGAAGGAGTTGTAAGGCGAGGCTCCCAAGAATGCACCAGCTCCACTTTGGTTTACAGCTGTAACAGAAACTCCAGGGAACAGCTTCTTGAGAAGTCCTATCGACAAAAGTCAGGTGTCATCAGTCACTTTTTTTCAGGGTGCACAGTCCCTGCTTCCTTCCAAATAAAGTGCAGATGGTCAAAGGATACTGGTCTATCATCTGCCAGTTTCAGTCAGTAATGAAGAAGAATATAAAAAAAAAAAAAAAGACACCCCTCTGGGATAGATATATATCTCTCTATATATTTTTCTTCTTTTTTTTTTTTAATAAAGCCACAAATATAGAACTTTTAAACTGATGTCTCCGACTGTAAGCGAAGGACAAATTTGTGAGATTTGGGGTCTATGAACTCTTCAGAGAGTACGATGAATGGAATTTTCTTCACATTGACTACGAGGCTAAAGTCCAAGCACTTAAGGACGAACACAATTCCATCCCGTAATCCATTAGTCACAGCCTCGTCACTGACAAGCCTCCACTGTGTAGACAGCCAGCGGTCCTTGTCATACTGCACGGTGGGGCCCGCACTGAGGTACCGTTCTAGGAAGGCCTGGAAGCAGAGAAGAAAAGCCATTAGAGAAGAAACAGCCCATTCTACGGGCAGTCTTGCCAGGTAGCTATGCACTCTCACACCTATGAAGAACATTTTCCAAATGAACCAGCTTAGACCAGAGCCCAGCTCATCACACTCATCAACTGAGTCATTATTGGGAAGGGAAGACTTCTTGGACTTCCTCATTCCCCTTGACGTACAACCAACCAAGGGTGAGAACAGTGGTACCCACAGAGGGGAGTGAAGGTAGAGTGGCTGGAGGCCACCACCTCTGCATCACTCCATTCCTAGGGTGTGGCCCTACTAGACCTGTTTCTCCATGTCTTCCTCCTCCTGAACCAAAACTGTCTCAGGGCCAGGGCCAAAGGGGCACTCAGGAAACATGAGTGGAATATACTTGCATGAACTGTAAGTTCATGCTCTCTCTACCACTTACCAGCAGTGATTCTGCACAAGTCATTTATACTCCCTCTAAGTGGATGCAGCGACACTACCTAAGTCGCAGGGCTGCCATGAGGATGAAAGTGTTGGCTCTCAAAAAGCACTCACAGCAATGCCTGGCACGGTAAGCAAGCAATAGTTATTTCCTGTTGGGCTAAGTGTGCACACGGCAAGTCCACGAGATGCCCAGGCCTGATGCCCCTCTCCTGAGCTCTCTGCGCCAGTGGCACCCGGCTCGATGGAGTTCTGATACATGTGCTGTTCTTCCAGCTAACCTTGCCATTCAGCTCATTCTCCCTCGTCCTTCAAATCTTCTTAAGCCACCTCCCCCGAACCTCTCAGGCAGATTAGCATGTCCTCCTCCAGGCTCCTGTAATCACTGACTCTCGTGTGACCCTTTACTTTCCAAGTGATTGCTGACTTGCTTGTCTGCTCCCCACACTACACTCCGTTCTCTTGAAGGGCAGGAAGTATGTTTTGTTGTTTTTCTAAAATGTGAATTTCCAATGTGCCTAGCACATACTAGGAGTTCAACAGCCTGTGAATTAAATCAAATAAATACACTGATTTAGCTATAAGAAGGGAAGAATGAAATGAGCCAGTAATATAGACAGAAACATACTGGGATATATCAGTCAGGTCCCAGACAGAGTCAAGAACAGGTTTCTTTTGTTTTGCTGAGACAGAGTCTCACTTTGGTGCCCAGGCTGGAGTGCAGTGGCACAATCTCGGCTCACTGCAACCTCTGCCTCCCAGGTTCAAGTGATTCTCTTGCCTCAGCCTCCCAAGTAGCAGGGATTACAGGCACGTGCCACCACACCCTGCTAATTTTTGTATTTTTAGTAGAGATGGGGTTTCACCATGTTGGCCAGGCTGGTCTTGAACTCCTGACCACTAGTGATCTGCCTACCTCAGCCTCCCAAAAGTGCTGGGATTACAGGTGTGAGCCACCGCACCTGGTCAAGAACAGTTTTTAACAGGTGTCCTCTTTTATTCACACCTTGCTAGGTATGTTATTTTTCATCTGTGGAAACATCTATTGTAAGGCAGAAAATAAGGCTTTGTCGGCTCTCACACTTCGAATATAAATATAGCTCTTATGAATCATAAGAAAAAGAAAATAACTCAACAATTAGAGAAATTAATCTAAAACAATAATTTTACAGGAGAATAAATATTATTGAAAAATTAGCATATAAAATTTTTCTATCACATTATCAACTAAAGAAATATAAACTAGAAGAATTAAAAACTAACTTCCTCCTCTTAGATGGGCAATGATTAAAAGAATGACATCCAATGCTCCCAAGTACGTGGGAAATAAAAAATCTCAGATGGTAGAGGCAAAAGCATGCAAAAGTAACGCCCCTAGGAGGGCAATGTGGTAGGATCTACAACTTTGACCTGGCCATTTCTCTGCTTGAAACTTACGTACCAGAAATGCTTGTACAAATACACATGTAAAAAGGTATTCACCGCAGTGCTGTTTAAGCCAGGGATTGACAAACTTTTCCAGAGATGTAAATTTTTTCAGAGTTTCAAGCCATATCTCTGTCACAACTACTTAACCCTGTTGGTACAGAGTGAAAGCAGCCATAGGTGATACATAAAGACAGGGCATGGCTGTGTGCCAATAAAATCTGATTAACAAACACGCCCAGCCCCTGGCTTTGACTAATGAAACCTCTTAATCCAAATGTGTATCAGCAGATAATCAGTTGAATAAATCATGGTATTTGGTAGAATAAGATGTAGCTATTACAAGAAATCAGTTCTATCTGTAGTTAGATCTGTATGAGTAAGATCTGTATGCATTGACTTGGAAAGACAGCCGAGGAATAGCTTTAACAAAAAAAAGCAAGGTTTTGTATATCTGTATCTTTCTCTCTATATATAGAGAAAGATAATATGCATTATATAGAGACATGTAGTATGTAAATCTCTATCTATCTATCTATCTATCTATCTATCTATCTATCTATCTATCTTACGTATAGGCTGGGCCCGGGGCCTGTAATACCAGCCCTTTGGGAAGCTGAGGCAGGTAGACTGCTTGAGCTCAGGAGTTTGAGTTTGAGAATAGCTGGGTAACATGTCAAAACCCCGTCTCTATCAAAAAAATAGAAAAATACAAAAATTAGCCAGGCATGGTGGCATGAGCCTGTGGTTTACACACACACACACACACACACACACACACACACACACAGAGAGAGAGAGAGAGAGAGAGAGAGAAAGAGAGAGAAATTGCCCCGTTTGTTTTGTTTTCCCATTTCAGCTTAAAAAACATCCACATATATTTGAAAGAATATACACCAATTCGTTATCAGTAAGAACTAAAACAGTTAGGGGAGGGTGGATGAAAACTTCACTTTCCACATAATAGTTTCCTTTAATGTTTGGATTTCTATATGAACAATGGCCATTATTTTTAATTCAGAAAAGTATAAGATTTTTAAATGAAATGAAAAGCAACCAGGAAACTTTCTAAAATCTTTAAAAAAGGGAAACAACTGTTTTGGATCTATACGGAAAGCCATGATTTTACACCTGCACACGTTTTCCTCATTTGCAACCATGGTACTCACGTTTCTGCATTCTACTTCTTGTAACTTACTATTCTAACAGACTCTTCCATGATTAAACAGGTGATATACCATAATTTATAAGCCACTATGATAGTTTTAAATTATTTCCACTGTGGAGGTATTACAGATTGTTTTGCAAAACACCACTCTTGTGCATATTCATGTGTATATGTGATTGTACTAAATAGTTTTCCTAGGAGAGAGATTAGTGAGTCAATACAGAAAACTTTCTAGTTTCTTACTGAATATTTCTACATTGCTTTCCTAAGGGTAGTAATTGGTTGACAATGTAATCAGCAGGATACGCATATAGTACAATGTATGAACAGGGGTCCTTACAAAAAACAGCTACCAAATGTTACATGTGTATCACATGCCACGCTCATCTACCCTCTACCATGCGACTCACATGCCATGTTGCCATATTTCATGTAATTCTTACACCGCAACCTCATCAGATAGATATTATTATCCTCATTGATACAAGAGCAGACAAGGATAGAGGAACTGAAAGAGTTGATTCATTTGAAGCGCTTAAAACAGTACCTGTCATATGATGAGGCCAGCCTAAATAGCTATTATTATTACTGGTAAAAATATTGCTATCACTTTGCATTTTGGGTGTTGCAGAATTAGCTTTGCTGAATGGTCTTTTAGATTATGGTGGTTAGCACACTTCTAGGGATATTGCAAGCAGCAGCCATATATCTAATAGAGGGTAGGCTAATTTGTGCACAGTCACAAACCAATTAAGTGGTGGATTCAGGATTTGAACCCACCTCTCTGTAGAGAAGTCATTTGCTATATCTTTATTTTGCTTCCTTGGTCACAGCCCTGTATTAGATATATGGTTGTTTCTTGTAACACTCTTTAAAGTGTGCTAAATGTCATAATCAAAAAGACCACTCAGTAAAACTAATTCTATAATACCCAAAATGTCTGATGGCATTATTTTTTTCCAATAATGATGATAATAATAATAATAGCTATTTAGTCCACCCTTATCATATGACAGGTACTATTTTAAGCACATGAATAAACTCAGTTCCCAAAATACACAAATGAGATAGTTACTAGTATTATCTTAACCAATTAACAGGTTAGGAGACTGAGGCACAGAGCCATTATCATCTGCCCAAGGTTTCACATCTAGTTGGTAGAGGAGCCAGCTTAGAATGAATCAGTTCAGCTCCCGAGTCCATAATGCACCCCAATCACTATTCTATACTCCTCCAATCACTATTCCATACTGTTTCCAAGGGAAATTCTCTCCTCTGTTAGAATCTAGAGACCTTCAAAAAGCATGTTTTAAAAAACAATTGTACTAACATAATAGAAAATCACTGAGAATCACTAATTGTTATTACTTGGTGTTTTAGAGAAGGCTTTGACTTTATCACTTCTAGTAACGCCGTAAAATTCAACTGGCCAAGCTCAGTAACGAGCCAGGCTGATGGTGGCAGAGCCCGCCCGGGGCAGCGCACCTTGGGGGTCATGCCGTTGGTGATGCAGAAGGCCAGGTGCTGCAGGATGCTCTCCATGCTGTGGTAGTGCTGCTGCCGGGTGGTGCGCAGGTACTTCTGGAGCGCCCTGGCCATGGAGGGGAAAATGGCCTGGGCGGCCTCCCTAGGGTCCATCACCTCCCCTGGGGCTTTCTGCTGCTCCTCGGCCTGGAGACGCTGAATGTGGATGAAGGCCTCTTCCACTGCAACCACCAGCCTAGAAGGTGATGTAACATTAAGTAAATCAGGATGGTGCCTTCCACAGGATGTGCGAACACAATGACACCCGTCCCCCCTGCTGTGGCCCGACCTGCCAACATACTCAAGGCCTAATCACACTGTCCCCTAGAGGGTGGAGAGGGAGGAAGGGATGAAGAAAGGCAACAGCAAAAATAACATGTGGAACAGGGGCCACGGGGGTCAGGGAGGAACTCCAGGACTGGGAGATGAATTCTGTTCTCAAGTCTGCCGCCGATGAACTAGGGAAATTCACTTAAATCCTTTTTTCATCTCTGCAATGGTTAGATGAAAAAAGTTCTATCTGAGGCCCCTCCAAATGGCTAAAAAAGGCTCTATACAGAGAGAGGTGGCTGGTGGTGGAGAAGCAGCCCTACAAAGAAGCAGAGCTGTGTGCTCCCTGTCCAGCCACCCACACCAGCAGCCCCTGGGAAACAGGAAGAGGCATAGCACACATAACAGAAAGCACCTCTGTCCCCTTCAGGTAATACGACCTGAGGGTAAACAGCAGCAAGGGTCCCGGGGTACAGGACAGGCCCACTCAAGTGTGGGCTGGGGGCCAGGAGCATTGGCATCACCCAGGAATCTGTTAGAAATGCCATTTCTTGGGCCCAACTCCACACCTACTGGGCTGGGCCTTTGCGGGCAGGGCCCAGAACCTGTAGCGTGTATTTGAACAACCCTTCCACTGATGCTCATACGGCCTTCAGTTTGAAAAACACTGGAGCAAGGTGCACTCCAAAGGTGTCCCAGCAGGTCGTGTTTTTAAACAGAAGCCTGATTCTAGTGGTAAAAAAGAAAAGATTAAAAGTCTACAAGAGGCAGGTACGGTGGCTCATGCCTACAATCCCAGTACTTTGGGAGGTCGAGGAGGGCAGATCACTTGAGGTCAGGAGTTTGATACTAGCCTGGGCAACATAGCGAAACCCTGTCTGTACTAAAAATACCAAAAATTATCCAGGTGTGGCGGTGGGTGCCTGTGATCCCAGCTACTCAGGAGGCTGGGCATGAGAATCGCTGGAGTCTGGGAGGCAGAGGTTACATTGAGCCTAGATCTTGACACTGCACTCTAGCCTTGGCAATAGAGTGAGATTCTGTCTCTAAGTAAATAAATTTTTTTTTAAAAAGTAAATAAAATAAAATAAAAATTTAAAAGTCTACAAGAGGGTACTGGCATCAGGAGGGCTGTCTACCTGGCTTTCCGCTTCTTTACTCGCCGTTCATGTTCCGCCTCTTCATAATACAACTCATTGTGGCTGGAGTCCCTGCGCCGAGCAGCGGCAGCGATCATGGCCCGGGACTGGCCAGTGGCATTGTTACTGGGGCCTTTGGGGAAAGGACAGTGGAAGAATAGTGTTAATACCACGAGGCTGGGAAACAGAGCAGAAAACTAGTACCACAATCTATCAATGCTGTCTACCCATCCTCTATGAAACACACATACAAATCCTAAAGGTCACTTCCCAGGAGGGTGAACTGTGCCCTGGTTCTGCATTTACTAGGTCCAAGGGAAGAGAACAGGGGAATCTCCTAAACCCCAATCTGGTCAGTGGAAATGGAAAAAGAATGCAGAAGGGGATGTAGAATGCTTGACAATTAAAATGTTGGCCAAAAACACACAGAGTGTGCTGAAGATGTCACCATCTGTTACATAAAGTTTCAGTTTGGCCATGAGGGCAGCTGGGACATCGAATTTCAGCAACAAGACAATGAGACAGAATGAGAGGCATGGGGAGAACAAGGACAAAGAGACAAGAAGGAAAGGCAAAGGACACGAGACACTGAGTCCACACTGGAAAACAAGCTATGCTGGAATGTCATGGCAGCCACAACTTTTATAGGAAATACCAATGCTCAAGGACATGCAACATAACCATTAATTAACACAGACTCAGAAATCCTGTCTTGTTCCCTGACCACTGACCACCTTAACTTTTCAGAAAGATAACGCAGATTTCAGCCTTTCTTATGGATGACCTACTTGACTGGTGGCTTGGTTTCACTAGAGGGAATCTTTGCTAAGTTTTCAGATGGCAGGTGGAATTAATTAATCCTTCAAGCTTCATGAGGGAGCTCACACCTCACAGGGCCAAAAAATGAGCAAATGACCGGGAGGATCTTGCCACCACAAATGGACCCTGTATATAAATCACTAGATTTGTTAACAATATAATCCTCTCCTAGAGTCTGCTAAGCCCTTGTCCTCACCCAAGGCACCCGTAAGAAATGACACCGTGTCCTGTTTCTTGCACTTCCCCAGCCTGGCCATCAGCCTCCTGCCACTCACTCAACTCCGGCTCCTGGCCACGAGTAAGAAGTGCCTGTAGGTATCTCCCCAGAGGCCTGAACTACTGAAATTTCTAGTCTTCACGATTTAGGTAGCTTTCTGAGTCTTTGGGTAATGGGCACACATTTTGAAAGCGGCCCTTTCCTAATAGCTTCCAATATAAGGTGATCCTGGCGGAAGGCAGAAAACACACACCATACTGTTTACAATCAAAAATCCCAAAATGAACGGGCTTCCCACATAGGTAGATGGTAAATCAACATTCCTCTAAAAATGTGTCTGCCTACATAAAAAAGAGAAATTGTTCTGAAACGAGAACGCACCATAAAGGTAGGCCCAGAGAGGAAGCAGAACCAAACACACCATGAAGCTTAAATAGTCACCCAGCTGTGCCCCTGTGAGCACCACAGAGACCCTTTCAAGGCACGTACCATCTACATTGTAGACTTTCAGCCCGGCCATGTGTTTGGCTGCTCGGAATTTGGAGGCTGTTAGGAGGTTCGGGTTATAGATGGTGAAATCTTTGTAGTAATTCTCTAGGACCACCAATGCTGCTCGCTGGATACTGAGAAAAAAAAAAACAAAAACAAAATTAATGCAAAGCTTTTTCACTGAATAAGCAGGTCCTAAAAGAAAAATCCTCTTTTGGAGTCAGGTAAAGGGGCAAAAGATCAGAGATGGCCTCATACAGAAGCCAGCTAGGTCCCATCGCACCTCTGCCTCCAGAATAAGAACTTAAAGCTGGAACTCAGCCCCCTGGTCGAGTGGCTTCTGTGCCCTCTTCTGGATCCCTGCTTAGCTGCATCCCATCTAGCCCTTTATTGAAAGAGGAAGAAGTTGTAACTCGTAACTTACATTTAACTTTATGCACATAAAAACTTTTTTCTATTTTTTCTCAGTTTACAAAAGAAGACACTGAGGACCCCCAAAGGACAAGAGACTTACTGATGGTTGCAGAGCTAATGAGTGAAGAACAAAGTCTAGATTCAGGTTTCTCAGGTCCTCGTTCAGGGTTTTGTCCCCTAGGCCTCGGTGCCCCTGTGTATAAGGAATCCTGAAACTCACTTTTTAAAAAAAAAAAAAAAAAAAAAAAACCAAGGTTTCACCATGTTGGACAGGAGAGTCTTGAACTTCTGACCTCAAGTGATTGGCCTGCCTTGGTCTCTCAAAGCGCTAGGATTACAGGCCTGAGCCACCGCGCCCAGTCTGGAACTTAGGTTATATACAGACCAGAACAACTGCAGCCATCCAGGGCAGAGTGAACTTAAGAGGGCCTCTACTGAGACCATTCCATCTTTCTGGGTCCCTCTGCCCCTTGGACTACTATCTCTAGCCTTTGGCAGAGGGGTACGAAGGTGACTATCCATGTCCCGATGTTCTCGGTCTCCAACCTATCCCCTGCTTGGTCCTCAGAGAGCAGCAGGGGAGCAAAGAACAGGTACCACCACCAAGCGGGAGAGAGGATGCGGGAGGGCACCTACAACAGGAAAGGAGCATAGGCGGCTAGAGAATGTGCTCGTGGTCTACAGTGCAGGACACTCGCCACTTTGAAGAACAACTTGCAATGATACAGCAAGAGTCTGCACAAAGCTGATTCTCACTGAACCCTCACAATCATTCGACGTAAGAAAACTGAGGCTCAAAAGTCTATGGCCTGCACAACAGCATGTGCTGAATCAATAGGAGAGCTGGAACTCTGATATGATTTACAAACCGCCACCTCGGGCTTCCCGGTACCACGTGGCCTCTGTGTAATAGCATACGTGCTGACATCTCCAAACACCACCCTGTTAAGTACCACAGATATATTTTTATCTTGCCCTTTAGGTTTTCCTTTTCTAGTACCTTGCTAAGCAGATCGGCTTACAAGGATTATCTGCAGTAGCCGGAGCACCAGGGTGGGACTCCCTTTGATTCCTGGATGACCACACTGTGTTCCAGCACTCACAGGGTGGCTCAGGGATCTCCACTTCACACTAAGACAAGGGTGCTCCTAACCTATCCACTGGAATCCTGTCTGCCCGCCCCTTCGGTTCCCCTTGGAGCTCTGCTTCAAGACTTTAACAGAGTCGAATCTGGAGGCCAGTCAGCTAACTTGCTTAAGAGCAGAGTCATGGCAAAGCTTTCAGAGTTCTGTCCCCAAAAGTGCCTGCATTCAGTTGGTACTTAATATTGTCCTAGATAATGTACAGTCATGTGAGGCTGGGGAACACTATCAGGGGAAATCTGGTGAGACCAACATTGCCTAATGGAAGTCTACCTAAGACTCCTAAAAGCAAATCCATATTTCGAAAGTTCTGATCATTCAATCACTCAGTTGCTCACTGTCATTCCACATTTGAGTGCCTGTGTCTGCAAAGCCCTGGGAATACCAAGATAGACAGAAGGAGCTTCTCCTTAGCCGGTACGTGGAGCATGAACCCCATCATGGTGAGTGTGCTCTCCTGCTGGAACATGTGGGGCTGAGTAACTACAGAGAAGAGCTTCTGGCTGCCTGGGACAGGGTGGGGTGCAAGAGCAGCCTCCTGAGTAGGTGGCCTTGCGTGGAGGTTTGTGTCACGAGAGCTCTTCCTGCAGAAGATCCCTCTGCTTGCCCTGAAGGTCTCACCTGGCAATCTCCAAGTCAGTGTGGCCCCAACCCCGTCCCTGCCCTCTATCCATGGCATTCTCCAGAAAGGGGCAAGTGTTTCTTTATCTCTACCCCATCCAGAGATTCATCGCAAGCCTCTCCCTGAACAGACACACATACACACGCACACACACACACGCACACGCGCATACACCTTCACATACACTCCCTGGTGTGCAAGTGTTTCTTTATTCCTGCCTTATCCAGAGATTTATCACAGCCCTCTCCCTGATCACACACACACACACACACTCTCTCTCTCTCTCTGTCTCTCTCCCTCTCTCTCTCTGTCTCTCTCCCTGGTGTGCCTAGCCCAGCTCCCACCCCTGTGCATGTCTTTTTCCAGAGTGTCTGGGCTTTAAACCCATGTCATCCCCACTCCTCCACTGATACAGAAACATCTCTAGGCTCCTGGATTCCAACAGAAAAGTATTACCTTGATCTAAATTTAAAAATTAGAAGGCAATTATCAGAAGTTCTCCTTAGAACCATCTTCAACTCAAAACCATCTTGTGGTTGCTGAGTTTTGCTTTTCTATTCAGCTGCAAGGAAGGGCCAAGGGAATCCCAGTAATTCAGCCTGGGCCGGTGAGGGGATGTCTGGGTTGCAGCCTCCTGGCTGTGTCTCAGCCCTCCACCCTGTGAGTGTGATGCACTGCCCAGGGCAGTGGTTTCTGTCCCCATTAGGGCTCCCAGCCCACCACCTTCCAGCCTGGGGCTCAGCGGATGCTCTCCAATGGGCCGAATCCACAGCCCGCCTGGCAGTCCCCCACAGAGCAAAGCCCTGGGGTCCCAGGAAGTGCCCAGGGTGGAGGTGGGTACCGTGGGATGCCAGCCCTGGGTGTCACAGGCATGGCTCTCATAGTCCTCCCAAGGAGTGAGAGCCTTTGCTCAAAAATACCAAACAAGGGGAAAGGGCAAGCATCCTGCACTCCCTCCGGCTTTGCCCTCTCAGAGCCGCAACGGGACGACTCAGCCTGCCGCAGGTCTGGCCAGCCCCCAGGCTGAGAAGCCAACGCTGGAGCTGAAGGGATCTCACGATAAACACTTCCAAAAGTGTGCACGCTCTCACCTACAGAGGGCGGTCTTTCTGATGCTCAATAAATCTAGCAATATTAGGGAATGAGAATTTCCAGGTAACTAAATAAACACATAACTCAAGTGCACAACTTAAAATGGTTGTGACCTTTTGGGATAAAATCCAATATGCCTTTTTATTTTTATTTTTTTTTGAAACAGTGTCTTACTCTATCACCCAGGCTAGAGTGCAGTGGTACAATCTCAGCTCACTGCAACCTCCCTCTCCCAGCTTCAAGAGATTCTCCTGCCTCAGTCTCCCAAATAGCTGGGACTACAGGCATGCGCCACCACACCTGGCTAATTTTTGTATTTTTAGTAGAGACGGGCCCTCACCGTGTAGCCCAGGCTGGTCTTGAACTCCTGAGCTCAAGTGATCCGCCTGCCTTGGCCTCCCAAAGTTCTGGGACTACAGGTGTGAGCCACTGCACCCTACCTTTCTTCATGTTTTTGAAGACAGTAAGCTCTGTGATAGATGAATTAAGTCTTCCTGATGACTCTGGATGATGATTACACATCTTAACACTGAGCTGTGCCACGTACATAACGCGGTAAACACACCAGGTTCCATCAGGAGGCGGAGGCCATCTGTCCCCACTCTGTCCCAGGCTTCAGCAAGTGTGAATAGGCGAGGCTATTTTGTTTACTGTGATCTCCCTCACTACTGGCTATCGGTCATTCCTAATTACTATGCCATGGCCTCAGTCATAGTCCCAGGAGGCCAGGATGTAGGGCCCAGCGTTCCCCCTGTCCCTATTCCTCTGCATCCTCCAAATACGGAAGGAACCACAAGGCTGACGCAGGACTGGCTTCTCTCAGGAAGGCTTTTCTAACTCTCCAGTCCTTGATCTGTCCCTAAACTTGCAGCATCAACAGTGGTGACACATGACTTGTGATGTCTTCGAGGGAGTCACGCAAGCTGGTCTTGCCCCTTCAGCAAGCTCGCCTATGCAAGTCCCTGACACATAAAGGACACGTCCTTTGGTTCCTCCATGGGTATATAATATTCGCTGGCTTATCTGTTCATGCAACCTTAGGATTCCCGTAAGTCTAAGATCAGTCCTGAATATATATTTCATAAAATCATGCAATTTCAGAAACAAAAAGGGCCCCAGAGATGAACAGAAGTAAATCCTCCTACAAATCCCAATCTCTAGACCAGACAATCTTGGATAAAGGTGGGAGGCAAGAAAAATCAAGTTGGTTAGAAACTTGCCCCCTCTGTTACCACCATGACATTCAGAGAGAAAAGGCAGTAGCTTGACTGAACAGGAACCCTGTATTCCGGTCGGGGGAGCCTTAAGTACAGGCTGTGGAGTCAGCCCCCTCAGAAACCTACGGCAAGGAACATTTTCGCAAGATAGAGGACTCAGCTCGACTGATGCTGCATGCCAACATTCCTGCCTAGTCACAACCCAGGGAAAGAAATACCCTCCCCAGACCACATATGTTTGTGGAAAACAGCTCATGAAGGTATGCCTAGTTCTGCTTGAGAAATAAATGTGCTTGAGACCTATGCATAAAGACCTCCTCAGTAGGCTTGGGTCTAGGCTGGCCCAAACTTGAACTCCTGGGAAGGAGGGCACACAAACCTCTGAGGGAATCTGACAGCTACATTTTAATTTAAAACTCTCTGCTGACCACATTGCCTACTGGCCTATTTTCTTTGCAGGACAAAGAGGATGGAATGAGAAATGCTGTGGTCTTTTGTGCCTAATCAACCACAAAAGCACTTCCAGTGTTGTTGACAACTGTTCTATGACTGCCATGGCAACGGAGAAGAGGGGCTTGCCCTTGGGCGACATTTCTTAAACAGACCTGGAAAGATGTAACTCCAAACACAGTTCACATTTTAATGCA